CCTTGTTCTAACTCTTGCCCTTTCCTTTCTTTTAAATCTCCTTCTCTTTCTCACTCCATCTTCTCCTTTTCTCTGTTCGTCCTCTTCCCTTCTCCCATCCTTTTTCCTCGACCCTCCTCCCCCTTTCCTTCTTCTCTCATCCTCAGTCTCCCCTATTCTTCACCCTTCCTCCCCCCTTCCCTTTTTTATCCATCCTCCTTCACCCTTCCTTCGTTCTCTCTCATCCCTTCCTCCTTCCTCTCTCTTTATCCTCCATCTTCTTCACCTCTTCCTTCCTCCTTCTCCACCCCCTTTTTTCTCTTCTTCCACCTTCCTTTTTTTTTTTTTCTCCATCCACCATCTACCCTTCTCTCCATTTCCCCCATCCATCCTCCACCCTTCCCTCTCCTCCTCCATCCATTTTTCCTCCCTCCATCCACCTCCATCCTTTCCTCCTCCTCCATCCTCCTTCCTTTCCTCCCTCCATCCTCTCCTTCCTTTCCCTCCACCCTCCACCTCCTCCCCTCCCCCCCCCCGCCCCCCCAGGCAGCGGGAGGCGGCGCGGGACTGGGTGGAGTCCCTTTAGGAGTCCGTGTATGGTGAAGAACGTGGTCCGACTCCTTCCCTCTGGCCGGAGCGCGCGCCGAGTCCTCCCGCTCTTCCTCTTCCTCCTCCTTTTCTTCTCTTCCTTCTTCTCTCTTTTTTTCTTCTTCTCTTTCTTTTTCTTCTTTCGTCTCTCTTCTTCTTCTTCTCTTCTTCTTCTTCTTCTTCTTCTTCTTCTTCTTCTTTCTTTTCTTGCTTTCTTCTTCTTCTTCTCCTTCTTTGTATTGAGTTTTTTCTTATTCATCCTATTGTTATTATTATACTTTTTTTTACTTCTCTTTCCCCTCCTCCTCCTCCCTCCCCCTCCCTCCTCCTTCTCCTCCTTCCTCCTCTCCCCCTCCCCCTTCCTTCTTCCTCCCCTCCCCTCCCTCCCCTCCCCTCCCCCCCTCCCTACCTTCTCTCCCCTCTACCCCTCTCCTCCTACTTCTCCCCCCTCCCTCTCTCTGCCCCCCCCCCTAAAACACCACTTAAAACCTGTTACTTCTTTTTTCACAGATTTTCTTCATTCGTTATAACTGCGTTTTGCTTTGTTGCATTCCATGTCATCCTACTTTCGATGTCCGGCGTTAAATGAATCAGGCAGGATGAATGGAAAACATATAGACAGATAATATAGATAGGTCTTTAATTATATCATAGTATATTATCGTATGGTGTTGTGTGTGTGTGTGTGTGTGTGTATTGTGTGTGTGTGGTGGTGGCTTGTGATGTGTTGTGTGTGTGTGTGTGTGGTGTGTGTGTGTGTCGGCTTGGTGTGTGGTGTGTGATGGTGTGTATGCATGCAATGTATTTATAGCCGCGAGATGACATGTGTAGATTCAACGTAGATAGATAAAAAGAGATAGGTATACTAGAATAGATGATTACATAAATGACTATATAGCATGTAATATAGCAGCATACAATATCATAATTTACATAATTCACATACATACAGTAATCACATATACTTTGTACAGTGCAAATATAACATATACTAAGAGAGGAGAGAAGAAGAAGAGAGGAGAGAGAGAGAGAGAGAGAGAGAGAGAGAGAGACGAGAGAGAGAGAAGAGAAGAGAGCAGAGAGAGACGAGAGAAGAGAGGGGGGGGGGGAGTTGGGGGAGTGAGTGAGTGAGTGAGTGAAGTCGAGTGA